TCACTCTAGGCGTGTCTTACACTCAGTTCTTGAGAGGGTAGCGCGTTTAGTGAGGTGTCGTTCTTGGAAGCTATAGCACCCTTATTTCCAAATATAGGTAGCGAATATCAGTGTTTGCACGATTTTTCGATGCCTTCCGGGAATGTCTCTTTATAACCCCTGCCTCGAGTCTTTTCTTCTGGAATGCTGGTCCCTTGCAAGGGGCAAGGGTACTGCCCCACTGAATAGTGAGGAGACCTTTGGGTCTAGAACAGGGGCCGACAAACTTTTTGACTCGAGGGCCACAAAGGGTTTATAAACTGGACCGGAGGGCCGGAACAAAAGCATGGATGGAGTGTTTGTGTGAACTAATATAAATTCAAAGTAAACATCATTACATAAAAGGGTACGGTCTTTTTTTTTTTTTTAGTTTTATTCATTTCAAACGGGCCGGATCCGGCCCGCGGGCCGTAGTTTGCCCACGGCTGGTCTAGGCAGACGTCTAACCTCTTGTGCCTCGGTTTCCCCATTGTACAATAGGGCTAGTAGTAGCCCCCCCGCCCCCCTCTCCCGGTGTTGCAGTAATCACCCCCGCTGCAGAGTGAGCAGTCAGCCGGCATTAGCAATGACGGGTTTGTGGTGGTGATAGGACCGTGTCCCTCTCACAAGGCCAGGTTCTTTTTCTTTTTTATTGACACAAAATTCACACAGCATACAATCAGCCATTTAAAGTGAACATTTCAGCACATTTCAGAGTGTTGTGCAACCATCTTCTCTAGCTGGTTCCAAAACACTTCATCCCACTAAACAGCCACTTCCTTTTCCCCTGTACCCCCTTCCCCCAGTACCACCAGCCAGTCTTCAGTCTAATATACTTGGGATTCTATAATATGTGGCCTTTTATGTCTGGCTTTTTTCACTCAACATAATTTTTTTGAGGTTCTTCATGTTGTAGCACGTATCAGCCCTCTACTCCTTTCTAAGGTTGAATAATACTCCATGGTGTAGATACACCACAATTTGTTTACCCATTTACCAGTCAATGGACTTGGGTTGCTCCCATCTTTCGGTTGTTGTGACTAATGCTACTGTGAACACTTGTGTAAAAGGATTTGATACCGGTCTCAGTTCTTTTGGGTATATGCCTAGAAGTGGAATTGCTGGGTCATGTGGTAATCCTATCTTTAACTTTTTTGAGGAACCACCATACTGTTTCCATAGAAACCACACCATTTTACATTTGTAAGAGGGTTATAACTTCTCCATATCCTTGCCACATTGTTAGTTTCCCATTTTTTCTCTTTTTAAAATTGTAACTGTCCTAGTGGGCATGAGGTGGTCTGTCATGGTTGATTTGCATGTCAGAGGCATGCAGATGACGAAGGATGTTGAGCAGTATTCGTGACCTTGTTGGCCATTTGTATTTCATTTTGGGGGAAATGTTTGTTCAAGTCCTTTGCTTCTTTTTAGTTGTTTTGTGTTGAGTTATAAATTCTTTATATATTCTGAATGTAGACCCTTATCAAATGTATGATTTGAAAAGATTCTCTCCCATTCTGTATGTTGTCTTTTCACTTTCTTGATAGTGTCCTTTAATGCACACACGTTTTTAGTTTTGATGGCATCCAGTTTATTTTTGTTGTTGTTGCTTGTGCTTTTGGCATCATATCTAGGAATCCCAGGCTATGGAGATTTACCTCTGTGTTTTCTTCTGAGAGCATTACAGTTTTAGCTTTTATATTTAGGTGATTCATCCATTCTCAGTTAACGTCTTTATATGGAGTAAGATAGGAGTTCAGCTTCATTCTTTTGCTAGCCTGCTGTCCCAGTGCTGCCCCTGGGAGACTTATGGCGGTCTCCCATGGTGTCCAGAGGGACCTTGCCGATGGCTCTGAGCTGCCCCAGTGAAGTGCCTCCCTGAGCTCTGTGGTGACAGGGCAGTGACAGCTTTCATGGAGGGAGGCCTGCTGGCCCACCTGGTCCCTCCCCTATCCTGGTCATGCATTGGTGAGGCCTTCTTTGCCCCTCCTTCCCTCCTCCTTGACCCCTGACTTGTCCCCACAACACTCTGCCCCATCAGTGCACACACTGCCCTGGACCCTCCCAAGAGGTGAGCAAGAGTTGCCTGGATGCTTTGCAGGGAAAGCGCTCATGGAATTGTTGACCGCCAGTGACATCTGTTTCCTGCATTTCAGCTGTGTTGGCGTAGAAGAGGAGGAGGCCCCAGACATCGACATATACCACTGCCCAAACTGCGAGAAAACCCATGGGAAGTCTACTTGTAAGTACAGCGCCATGCGCCTCACCTTGGATCTGATGGACTCCTGACCTGGCTTGCTGGGGTAAAACTCTGGGTGGCCACACCCTGGTGCTTGGGGACACCTCTGGCCTCCTTTTCCAACCCGTACAGCCTTGCCAAGCCCATGGCAGCCCCTCCTGATCGGCTCCTGCACTCACAGCCGCTGTGCAGAGACTCCATCTGCTCTCAAAGGCCTCAGCAGGGGGTACAGACTCCAGCACCTGCAGGGGCCAAGTTCGTCTGAGACAGGGACATGTTGCAGGTCTGTCCAAGGGGTTGTGCAGCCCAGCCCTGCCCAGCTGACCTCCACCTTGATGGGGTCTTGAAAGTTGCATCATGGGGCTCTACTTCCCTTCTCCACCTCTGCAGGGAATCTTAGGTGATTTCCTTTCCCAGCCTGCTGTTTGCCTATTCCAACGGTTTGATCCCTGCCTTCCTTTGGTCCCTTCGGGGTGTGGCAGTTCCTTTGGGGACTCCCCAGGGTGCAGGCTCGTCCGAGTGACTCCAGGGTGCCCATGTCCTGGCTGAAAGGCAAGTCCCGAGGCTAACCTCTCTGGGGAATGAGATGCTATGGTCTACAGGGACCACTGGAGGGCCGGCCTGGAAACGAGGCAGATGGCACAGGGTGTAAATGTGGCCTCTGGTTTCCAGCCTGGGCAGGGCTGCTCACAGAAGGTACAGGCTGGACACCGGCCTTGGCTGGTGGCAGATCACAGCCCTGCTGTCCCGAAGCAGGAAAGTTTGCAGTTTCTAACCTCCCCTCGCACCCTGAGGACTTGGCAGCACTGGTGTCTGCTCTCATTACCTCATCCTTTTCAGCAGATACAGGAGGTGACTACCATTCCATGGGCCAGCTGGTGGCATTTCTGGCACCTCTTGAGCCATTGGGAAGGCTCAGGGCCTAGGAAAGATGAATAGGGTGGGGACATGGGGCAGGAGGGGTGTACCATGTGATCATGGGAACGGAGCCAGGGACAAAGAAGGGCTGGATCAGAAACCCCTGCTGACCCCCCAGCAGAGCCCAATGTCCTGGGGAGGCACAGTCTTAGGGGGCTCAGGGAGGGTGGGGCCACATCTGTGTGGCTCGTGAGCTGTTGCATGAATTGGGGGTGCTGGGATTGGGCTATAGCAGGGTTGGAGGTGGGTGTTGGTGTGCACAACAGTGCAATTTCTCCAACGCCCCTGCGTGTCCCCAGAAGCACCCTTCCCTGAGGGTCAGCTTGCCTGCTGCCGGAGGTCTATGTGCCTGCCTCACCAGCCCCTGTTCCTGTGCTCCTGGGTCTGGGCAGAGGCCGGGTGGTCCCCCGCTGCCTGTTATTGCCACTGGAAGTCAAGGGCAGGCACCCTTTCCTGGCACTTACAGCCAGCCACCCCCAGGGCATGCTGGGACAGCAGCCTGGTGGGACCCAGCAGCCCCTCCCTGCTTGTGCATGTGTGCATATGTGTATGGAGGGTATATGTATGCGTGTGCATGTGTATGAGTGAATGTGTGTGCATGAGTATTTGCATGTTTATGCAAATATGCATATATGCTGTCCCTGTCTGTTGTTATTGGTGGCCATATGCTATCAGGGACAAAGGTTCTAGCACCTTCCACTAGCATGCACTCCAGATTGGCGATCACTCTTCATTTGAACTGAGTCCATGCTCAGTCTGGAGCCTTTCAGTGACGCACAGATTGGTGTTTGCCACATCAACTCAGTCACACCCTTCCACAGCGAGGCCCCTTGGGGACAAGATGCTCCTTTATGTCACTGTGTTTCCAGGGGAGCCCCCAAACCTGTGGGCTGCGCTGCAGGCCCTCTTAGGCCCAGGCCTGCCTCCTTCCCTTCCCTGAGCGGGCTTTGCAGCAGGCGTGACAAGGTGAGGAGGGAGAGCCCACAGGTAGATGTGGTGCAGGGCCCATTGGTCCCCATGGGAACCCAGCAAGGAGTCCCCACTGACAGTTGACACGAAGGCTCATGCAAAGCAGGTGGCATATCCTCAAAGTGGCTCTGACCCCGTTTTGTCTCTCTTTAGCTCTGTGATGCTTAAGAAGTTACTTCACTCACTGTCTTCTCACTTTGATCCTCTCTGAGGATCCTGTCATGCCCAAGAGGTGGGGTGTGGCCCCCACACTCCAGGTGCCCCACTCAGCAGCTGTCTCCAGGGTGTGCATTGCCAGAGAGGGGTGCTGGGGTGCCACAGGTCAGAGGACTCTCAGTCTCGGGGAGCCTGGCAGAACTCGGGCGTGTCTCGCAGCTCTGCCCCTGGCTGTTGTCCCAGCCCACCTGCTCCAGCCACAGCCTCAGTGGGCAGTCTCTCCGTGAGGTGGTGAGCTGCTGGTCCTGAGTGAGGGACTGGCCGCTCAGCACCTGCTTTTCAGACCCAGCTTCTGGGGACACATGGAGGTGCTGCTTCTTCCTCCTCTGTCTACTGCACCTCTGTCACTTTGCCCCATGCTCCCTCCCCACCCCCAAGACTCAGGTTTCCCATGTGGCCTCCCGGGATGAGGCACTCAGTGCCAGGCAGCGTGCATCCTTGTGCTCTGCATACCCTAGGGGAGATCTTGGCATGGCTCCAGCCTCGAGCTCTTCTCTGAGGTGGGGCTGCCCTGGGGCCACACTGCCTCACAGAGGGAGGGGCAGGTGCAGGTGCTAACGCAGCATCCTCAGGCCCTGCTGGGAGGACAGTGGCTGGGAACATGGGGAACACTCCTGGAGGGGCTCATATGGGGTCTCCTCCTCAGCACCTTCCTTCCCCTCCTGCCCCCTCCCACCGGCCCTACACAGCACTAGGATCGCTGTCTCTTGTCAGCCTGCCTCTGCTCTCTGCACTGTCATGGCTGCCAGTATATGCCCTGGGCTTCCCTTCTCATTCCACCTCAGATCCCTGAATGTACTGGACCCCTCATGGGTGGGGACCCCTTAGATCTAGGCTCACCTCCCACTGCAGGCATCCCCCACCCCCTCCGGTTCATGTGGACAGCCCAGGTCCAGGAGGCTGGGCACGCTGAGTTCCACTCTGCTCCTTCCGTTCCTCGGGCCGTTGGAGGGGGAGCGCCTTGTAAACTAAAGCCTGCGCACACTGGATGTCCCAGGTCACTTCCTGATGCAGCTGCAGGCTCAGCAGAAAGGACAATAATGCTCAGTCTGTTTTCAGAGTCAGAGTTACCTGGGCTGTGACTGGGGCGGTGTCCCAGGCCTTCTTTTGCCATGGCGCCCTGTCCCAGGCCCCTGGGCTCTTTAGGAAGCTGGTATGACCCAGGCTATCTGTCAATTTGGTGACCCCTGTGCAGAGCCGAGCTGCTCGGCGTGTGTTTGCAAACTTCTGGGGAGAACAGATCTGAGATGGGGTAGCCAAAGGGCAGTGGGGAGTTTTCCGGGGCCCAGGCATTGCCCAGCTCTGGTGGGCATCGAGGGGCAGGAGTGTGCTGAGCCCTTCCTGTCTGAAGTTCATCCCCCGTCCCAGAGGCTCTGGACAGAGGGGCACACTGGGGTGCATGGGGAAGAGCCTGTGGGTCTGGAACAGGTGCTGAGTTTGCCTGTAGACCAAGCAGCTGAGAGAAAGGGGCCTAAGGGTGTGCCCTGCAGAGCTCCCCAGATTACGCATGGTGCCGAGTATCACTCCCTTATTACATGTCACAAGGAGCCCAGAAGGCCGGGACTATTATCTCTCTATTCAAGATAAGACACAGAGATGCCCAGTAACTTGCCCAAGGTCACACAGCAATAAGATGGCGGGGCAAGAAAGATTTGGGCGGGTGACTCTGAGCCCTTTGGACCTCCCGTCTACGCCTGGTGCTGCCTCTGGAAGTCACAGCTTAGATCCTGCCAGGTTTCCATAACATCCACTCACATTTTGGCCAGGGGGCAGGCATGCCATAATATCACCCGATGTTGGAGATAGTCTCCAACTTGACTTGATGGAGATGGGGAAGGGTTGGTGATTTGGAACGGAGGCCAGCTCAGCCTCCCAGCGCCTTCCCCTTTCTGCTTCAGGTAAGCCCTTCTCAGAGGCAGTCATTGTCACTGGGCTGTCCTCGGCTGCCTTTATGCCCACAAACTCGGACACAGGAGTCCCAGGGCTCATCCCTGCAGCTCCCTCCCATCCTCATCTGGGAAGGACAGGCACCCTGAGGACCCTCCCATCAGTTCCTCGTACCCAGTCTCATTTCTCCTGAGGGTCAACCTCTCTCAGACCCCCCAGCAGTTCTAAGGAGCAGGTCCTCCTCACACACCGAGTTACCTGTGACTGCCCTGAACCAGGGGCGAGGGCCACAAGGAAGTCACTTCCCTCCCTAGGCGCTCACAGTCCAGTACGGTGTGTGTGCATGCATGTGCATGTATGCATGTGTGAGTGCACATGTATGGTGCAAGTGTATCACAGTCCAGCAAGGGTGTGTGCACACGCTCATGTGTAAAAAGTCCAAGGTGTGTGCATCAGTGCCCTGGGAGCATGCATGAGGACAGAGCTGCCTGAGGGAGTGGGTAGGGTGACGTGGGCAGGGGTGGCTGTGCAGAAGTGTGTGAGGTGGGCACAGCCCGGGGCTAGAGAGGGCGGACAGCACAGCAGGTGGTGGCCGGCCTGCTCTTGTGTGTGAGCTGTGGGCTGCAGAGACAGGAAGGTCCCAGCAGGGTGGTGACAGGGTCTGTGCTATTTGAAGACAAGTTCGGGGAGGGGAGGGCTGTCCTGAAGGCTGACCTTGGTGGGGCCTTCTCAGGAGATGCCTCTCATGACTGGGTGCTGAGTAGGGAGGGTCCTGGGAGATCCCAGCTTCTGGGTGCCATCAACTGAGCTACAGGGTTGGGAGGTATGAAGTGGAGTGGGGGTGGGTGTAGAACCAGAGGCTGGGGATGGTGAGGGCTCCTGACCATGTGATGACACAGGGTAATGGGGGTGTGGGAGGCTGGTGGGCCGGACCCAGGGACCCTGAGGACTTGGCCTGAGGAGGGTTGAGTCTGGCTGCATTCGAGATTCCCTGGCTGCCCTCGTGGCTGGTCTCTGGAGGCGTGGCGAGGGGGATGCAGGCAGAGGCCTGTGCGGGGTGCTGACCCACCGTGTCCCCTGCAGTGAAGAAGAAGCGGACCTGGCACAAACACAGCCTGGGGCAGACGCCTGACGTGAAACCCGTGCAGAACGGCAGCCAGCTCTTCATCAAGGAGCTACGGAGTCGGACCTTTCCCAGGTGGGCCGTCAGATCCCCTGCCCCCTGCTCACTTCCAGGCCCAATGCACACCCCCTACAGGGGCCCCGTAGCAGAGGACCTACCCCTCGGGCAGAGGATTGTTCCCTGAAACTCCAGGCCCCCGGCAGAGGCTGACCTCTCTCTCTCTCTCAGAACCTCCGGGCACAGTGTGGGAGGGAAGAGACCCAGGTCCCCACTAGGCGTGTCCTCCCATGGGGCATTCTGAGGGGAGAGGAGGGGCCAGTGTCCAGCTAAGATCATTCTCAGATGTGGCAGGTCCTGGTCCCGGGTCCGTAGGTGCTCTTCTAGCCTCCCTGTCCTCCACCCCCGTCCTGTGTGAGGGCAGCAGGCAGGGGCAGGGCTGTGGGAACAGCTTCTGTGGGAAAGGGGCTTGGTGACAGAACCTGCTCGGAGCCATTTCTCAGCCTCCACCCTGGGCGACAGTGTTGGTGGACAATTCCACTTCTCTGTCACCCCATTCTCTTTTTCATGTGTGGTTTCTAATGAGAATCCAGTGCAATTCTTATCCTTGGTTCTCTATGGACAAGGCAGTTTTCTTCCTCTGGCTTCTTTTTTTCTTTTCTGATTGTTTGCCCATTTATTGAGATATAATTCATATACCATATAGATCACCCATTTAAAGGGTACAATTCAGTTGTCTTGGGTACATTCACAGATGTGTGCACCACCGTCAATCAGTTCTAGAACATTTCATCACCCAGAAGAAACCTGTAACTTGATCACTCCCATCCCCGCTCCCCCCACCCCGCCCTAAGCAACCACGAATCCGCCTTCTGCCGCTGTGGGTTTGCCTGTTGTGACATTTCATCTGAGTGGAATCATACAATATGTGGCCGTCCGTGTCTGGCTTCTCTCACTCAGCGTAATAGCCTCAAGGTTCACCCACGTCATAGCACTTCATTCCTTTTTCATGGCAGAACAATATTCCCGTGAATGGACAGGCCACATTTTGTTTATTCACTCAGCAGTTGACAGACATTTGGTTATTTCTGATTTGGGGGTACTGTGAATAATTCTGTTATAACCATTCTTTGTTGTTGTTGTTATAATCATTCTTGTACAAGTTTTTGTGTGGACATATGTTTTCATATTTTAGGAGTAACTCTATATTTAATTATTTGAGGAACTTCCAGTCTGTTTTCCATAATGGTTGCACCACTTCCATTCCTGTCAGCAGCGTATGAGGGCTCCAGTTTCTCCATGTCCTCACCAGCACTTTTCATGAAATGTTTTTTAATCTTCACCCGGGAACATGTTCTTTATTGATTTCAGAGAGAGAGAAGAGAAGCAAAGCAAAGGAAAGAGAGAGAGCAACATTGATGTGAGAGAGAAACTTTGATCAGTTGCCTCCCATATGCACCCCAACCACTGGGGACCGAACCTGCAATCTGGGCATGTGCCCTGACTGGGAATCGAACCCCCCACCTTCTGGTATACAGGACGATGCACTTTTTATTATCTGACTTTTTATTCTAATCATACTTGTAGGTAAGATTTTCTCTTGCTGTGGTTTTGATTTTCATTTCCCTAATCACTACTGATGTTGAGCATCTTTTCATGTGCTTTTTGGTCATTTGTATGTCTTCCTTGGAGAAATGTTAGTCCAGATCCTTTGCCCATTTGAATTATTTTTATCTTTATGATTGAGCTCTAAGAGTTCTTATATAGTTTATATACAAGTCCCTTATCACACATGTGACTTCCGAATACTTTATTCTATTTTGTGGGTTGACTTTTCATTTTTCTTGATGGTGTCCTTTGAAGCACAAACGTTTGTCATTTTGGTGAAGTCTAATTTTTCTACCTTTTTCTTTGTTGTTTGTGCTTTTATTGTCATATCTAAAAATCCTTGCCAGATCCAAGGTCATGAGGATTTATCCCCATGTTTTCTTTTAAGAGTTTTATAGTTTTAGGTCTTACAGTTTGGTCTTTGATTTTCAGTTAATTTTTGCATATAGTGTGAGGTAAGGATCTAACTTCATTTTTCTTGTTTGCTTGCAGCTACCTATTTGTCCCTGCACTATTTATGGAAAAAGACAATTCTTTCACTATTCAGTGGTCTTGGCACACTTATCGGAAGTCTCTCAGCCATGGATGTATGCACTTATTACTGGAGACTTCATTCTATCCCACCGATCTCTGTTTATCCTTAGTCCAGTTTTCCACTGTCTTGATTGCTGTAGCTCTGTAGCTTTGCAGTAAGTTTTGAAATTGAGAAGTGTGAGTCCTCCAATTTTGTTTTTCTTTTTCAGGATTGTTGTGGTCATTTTGGGTCTCTTGCAGTTCCATATGAATTTTAGGATCAGCTTGTCAGTTTCTAGAAAGAGGTCATCTGAGTCTCTGATGTGGATTGTGTTGAATCCATAGACCAGTAGAATCAGAGTATTGCCATCTTAATAATGGTAGGTCTTCTGACCCCATGAATATGAGATATGTTTCCATCTATTGAGATCTTTTTAATTACTTTCAACAGTATTTTATAGTTTTCAGAGTGTAATTTTGCACTTCCTTTGTTAAATTTATTCCTAAATAATTTGTTCTTTTTAATACTCTAAGTGTGTTTTCTTAATTTTATTTTCAGATTGTTCATTGCTACTATACTGAAATACAATTGATTTTTATATATTGATCTTATATCCTGCAACCTTGATGAACTAGTTTATTCATTCTATTTTTTTTAGTAGATCCTTGTGTTGTGGTTTTTTGTTTTTTGTTGTTGTTGTTTTTGTTTTATACACAAGATCATATCATCTTTGAATAGATAGTTTTACTTCTTCCTTTTTCAGTCTGGGTTACTTTTATTTTTTTTCTTGCCTATTTTCTTTGGCCAGGACCTCCAGTAGAATGCCGAGTAGAAATGGCCAGGCAAGGGTGATCAGGACCCCACTATTCTCAGGGTGCCCCACTCCGGGCAGAGACTCAGTTCCACGAATGTGGGCCAGGTGGAAGAAGGGAGCCCCCACCTTTTGGCAGCCTTTGCCCAGACTTAGCCTCAGCAACAGACAGCGGGAGGGATAAGAGAGGTGGACATCCTGCTCCTCGAGAGAGCCTGGGACCGTGAGAGTTTCCATTCAGCATTCCTGGGCCCTTGGCTGCAGCCTTCTGGAGTGGAGCCTGCTCCTCACTGAGCTGGGAAAGTGTAGGGAAGGCATGTTTTGGGCCAAATATCACATAATCTTACCATTCTCGTACCAAGCTTTCATAGATTTTTCTTGCATAGATGTTTCTTCTTTTGCTGTTTGCTCTTAGGACCAATTCCAGAGGCTTTGAATAGTTTTTTTCTTTATCTTTGATTTCTGCAGTTTGAATATACCATGCCTAAGTGAAGTTTTATTTATTTTTATTATTTATTTATTCTGTGAGAGAGAGAGAGAGAGAGAGAGAGAGAGAGAGAGAGAGAGTTAGTTTATGCTGCTGGTGATGCTGTCTGAGCTTTCTGGATCTGTGGTTATGTGTCTGTTATTAATTTTGGAAAATCCTCAGCCATTATTACTTCAGTTCTTTCTTTTCTTTCTAGGTATTCCCATCATGCATATATTACTCTATTTGTAATTATTCAACATTTCTTGGATATTCTGTATCCCCATTTTTTATCTCTTTGCCTTTCAGGTTGAGCAATTTTTGTTGGCGTACTTCAAGCTTACGGATTCTCTCCGCAGCTGTGTCCAGTCTACTGATGCATGCTTCCCTCACTTCTGCTGGTTGTTTTCTTTACTTCTTAGCATTTCCTTTTGATTTTTAGAGTTTCCATCTCTCTGTTTACATTACCATCTGTTCTTGCATGTTCTCCACTTTTTCTGTTGGTGCTCCTAATGTATTAATCATAATTATTTTAAATTTCCTATCTGATAATTCCAAATACGGTGCTTTAATCTGAGTCTTGTTCTGATTCTTGATTTATCTCTTCAGACTATGGGTTTTCTTGCCTTTTATTATGTCCTGTAATATTTTGTTGAAAGCTGAGTGATAGGAACTGAGGTAATTAGGCATTTCGCGTGAGGTTTTATATAAACCTGACTGGGAGCTGGGTCAGTGTTAGTGTTTGCTGTAGTTGTGGGTGTCAGAGGCATCACTTTCTTCTAGTTTCCTTGTGCCTTTATTTCCTATTTTGTTTTCTTTGGGTTTCCTTAAGAACTCCTTCTTAAATAGCCTGTATCTTGCAGCTCTCTCAATTATACTTAATTGTTATTATACTGTTATGTGGTGGTAAGGATTGGGAGAGGGGATGTGTTCTGTAATTTAATGATTAAAGTTCAATGTTTTAGTGGGCCTGAGGCTCTGGGCTGTCACCTTCAGAAGTATGTCTTGGCCTTTTCTTTTTCTCTACTTACTGGAGTCAGGGAGGCTGTGAGGCGACAGTTGGCCACTTGCCCTCCCTGTCAGATAAGGATCTGGTAAAGTAAGTTCTCCTGGAGGTAAACTTTATGATGGAGAATACTCAGAATGTATTTAAACATAGTTACTTTTCCCCTCCCTCTGCCTGAAACAGGGGCAGATCTTTATTATGAGAACCTGGTAGAATTTCTGGAGGTAAAATCCATGAAAGTGTGGTCTTCTCTGAGATGGGCCCCCACGAGTTTTTAACTATTAAGCTAGTCCACCCTCAAGTTCCACACTTTGTCAAAAATTACCATTTAAGTACTTTCCCCTGCCAGTTACTGCCTCAGCTTCTGCTTCAGATAAGGTTATCTTGGCTATGATTTTCTGTATTTGCCTGTCTCTCCAGATTTTGGGGTGACTGTTTTCCCTGTAACCTCAATTATCTGATGAATCTAAGAAAAGTATTTGGTTTTCACTTTGTTCAACTTTTTTCTTGTGAGAACAGGAGTGACAACTTCAGGCTCTTTACATGTGAGATTTGAAACCAAAAGTCTGGTCCCATCTTATTTTAACCCCTTCCCATTAATTGTATTGTCTTTATTGTTGAGTTGTAAGAGTCCTTTACATATTCTAGATACTCATCACTTATCAAATACTTTCTCTCATTCTATGGGTTGTCTTTCCACTTTCTTGATAGTGCTCCTTGGAAGCACAAAAATTTATAATTTTGATGAAGTCTAATTTATCTATATTTTCTTTTGTTGTTTGTGCTTTTGGTGTCTCATCTAAGAAATCAGTGCTAAATTCAAGGTCATGAAGATTTATGCCTATGTTTTCTTCTAAAAGTTTTATGGTTTTAGCTTTTATATATGAGTCTTTGACTCATTTTGAGTTAACTTTTGTATATGTTATGGGGTAGGAGTCCAACTTCATTCTTTTGCATGTGGATATCCAGTTTTCCCATGCACAGTTTATTGAAATTACTATTTTTTCTCTATTGAATTGTCTTGACACCTTAATGAAAAGCAGTTGACCATAGATATTTGGGTTTATTTCTGGATTCTTTCTATGGCTGTACCACACAGTCTTGAATACTGTAGCTTTGTAGTGAATTTTGAAGTTGAGAAGTGTCTTCCAATTTTGTTGTTCATTTTTAAGACTATTTTGGTCATCTGGGTACCTTGCATTTCCATCCAACATTCCAAGTTTATCTTGTCAATTTCTGCAAAGATGTCAACTGGGATTTTGATAGGGAACGTGTGGGGTCTGTATGTCAGTTTATCATTGAGGAGGACTTGGTCTCCATCTGCTGTATCCTCAGCCCCAGACTCACCCTGTGCAAGGTCTGCTCACCCATGAAGGGGCTTGGGGCAGGGAGCTAGGAGAACAAGGGAGGTAGGGGAGGATCTCGGCCTTGGTAGGAGGGATGGGTGCGATGTGTCCCCACCTCCCGCTCACCACTCATCTCACCCCTGGCCAGGCCTCCCAGACCTTGAGGTTTCCATCTGTGAGGAGTATGTAGGACCCTCTGTGGCTGCCCGGTGACCCTGGGCATGGTGCTGTGGGGCGTTCCCTACTTGGGGCTATGGGAGACGGGTGGCAGGAGCGCGGGCCTTATGTCTCCAGCCCTAAGGCCCTGTCCAGGCCTGTCAGGGTGCAGAGGGGCTGGGACCTGGTCTGATGTGACCTCTGACCTGCGCTTCCCCACAGTGCGGAAGATGTTGTGGCCCGCGTGCCAGGCAGCCAACTCACACTGGGCTACATGGAGGAGCACGGCTTCACGGAGCCCATTCTCGTCCCCAAGAAAGACGGGCTGGGCCTGGCAGTCCCGGCCCCCACCTTCTATGTCAGCGATGTCGAGAACTACGTGGGTAAGTGCCCCCCCCCCCATTTATGTGGCTATGGGCACCCGGGCCTGCTGGCCTGGAGCCCTGGTTGTGTCCCTGTGCCATCTGAGTGAGTGTGACTCAGGGTCTCTGTTCTCTGTTCTGGGAGCTTTTAGAATGAGACCACATGTCCCACCTAAGTGGCATGTGACCCTGGCCCCTTCCCTGCTCAGTTACTCCAGCTGTAAAGTGGGGTCTGTCCTGGAGACTCCTTGATTCTACCAGCGGCCAGTTCTACTGCTGCTGGGTTCTAAGGGCAGTCATGCCAGGAGGGCTCGGTCGGGACGGGACCTTCTCCTGCGGCTGTGCTTTGTTCTCAGCTTCTGGTGGCTGCCTCACTCATTTGCCCCAGGACGAACCTTCCCATGACCCAGGGCCACCTCTCTCCTGGGTCCCTCTGGGATCCAGCTGATGCCGTCTGCAATTCAGTTTCATGTCCCCCGGCAGTTCCCAGCACATAGACTCCCTCAGGCAGGACACCTCTGGGTCCAGGGAAGTGCCCGTGTGTGCGGAGGCACCATCCGTGAGGCAGCTGGCATGGAGAGGCCAGCACACACCTGGCATTGACTGCAACACAGCCCTGGCTCTGAGGCTCTTGTGGTTGCCAGGGCTTGGCATGTTCACAGGGATGCCTGCGTGGCCAGTGGGGGGAAAGCAAAGATTCCCTGAAATGGCAAATACCCAGGCCGGCGCTGGCCACATGCTGGACAGGTGAGGGCGTAAGCACTGGGACTGCAGAGGAGTTGCTCCATTGCCCAGAGCTTGACCCTCTGCATCTGCAAAGCCTGCAGTGGGGGTTGGCATGGAGACTAAATGAGGTTGCCTGTATTCAAACCAGAGACCACACCCCTCTCTGGAGCTGGGGTCCCCAGGGCCGGCCAGCTTGTGGCAGGGAGGGAGGGACTCACTCTTCCAACCTGGCGATGACCAGGTCTGGGCCTGTAAGAGCACCTGGAAGAACAGCCAACATGTGGTGGATGCCTCCCAAGCACACGTGTTTTCTAGGCTCTTCCCATGTATGAGCTACACAGCTCTGTCCTCCAGGCCCCAGGTTTGTGTGTGTCTAGGCCCTGCCCCCTGCACCACCGCTATGCTGCATGGGAGATGGTCTTAGGCTTTTACTGTAAGTGTCTTTCTTTCCCTTCTTGTTTTATTATGGAACTTTTTACCCACAAAAAAATGAGAGGAGTCAACAGTGAGCCCCCATGTGCCCAGTACTGACCACAAAAACCACCGACTTTCAACTGTTTTTCTGTCTCTTCTACTTCCCCCCTCCCCCCAAGTATTTTGAAGCAAAACTCTGGTACATCAGTTATGTTACCCATGACAGCTCCAGTGCACAGTTCTAACAGACCGTATTTTTAAAAAAGTCATCCCATTCTATTCTTGCACTCTAGAACACAAATGACAACTCCTCCTTATCACTGCAGGCCCACTGCAGTTCTCTCCTGTTGCCTCAAGAGCAGCCCTTTATGTCTGGCTGTTTGAGTGAGAATCCAAACAAGACCACACACTGCACTGGGTTTTATGTCCCTTCAAGTCCATTTACTTTTAGAACAGCCCCTCCCCTCCCATTCTCCTTGTTGGAAGGATGGGGGTGTTGGTCCTGGAAAATGTCCCACGTGGGAATTGAGGAAAACCCTGCGTGGGGATTTGGCCGATGGCCTCCCTGTGGCGTCATGCAGCCTGTCCCTCTGTCCCCAGGGGCCCCTGCACCACGTGGTGAGAAGCTGGCTCAGGTCTGCGTTCAGGTTGTGGGCAGCGCCTTCCCAGCGGGGGTGCTTCCTTCAGCCGAGGCCTGCGGTGCCCGGCCACCCACTTCTAGGCAGTGAGCCAGGCCGTCCAGCCACATCTGTCCACAGACACTTCCGCCAGCCTCTCGGCTCGAGGTCTGAGCAGCTGTGGAGGACAGTCGGGATTGGCTAATCCTGTCCTTTCTCCCTCTATTCATTGTGAGTCTTGTACAAAGGATTTCCCTCAATGGTGACTCGGTTGTGCCGAACTTTCTTTTCATCATCAATGATTTTTGCCTGCACTTTTCCTCATCAACCATAGGAAACATGGGATAAATGTTTTCCTTCTATTTATTAATTTTCAGAATAATTAGTTGGTACCCTAGAAACACAGAGGGGTTTTTTGATATTTTTTAATGTTTAAAATATAAGCGCGTGCCATGCTTTATTTGGGATATATACTAAAAGTGTCTTTATTACTTATCTCAAGTTCAAATTTACCTGGAGTCCTATATTTTTAATTGCTGATCTGGCCACCTTAGCTGAGGGTGGTGACTCTGTCACCCTACAGCACCATGGGGTCCTCCTAACAGCCTGGGGCAGTGGGCAGGGCAGAAGGGTTGGGCAGTAGAGATCAGAACCTCCGCATGCAGCCCTCCCCTCAGTGGCCTCCCCCTCTGTCCTGCCCCGACCTCACGGGTGGCCAGGCCATTTACCCCTGGGGCACCCACCCTCCTCCACTGCCTCCCCAGGCCCAGAGCGGAGCGTGGACGTGACAGATGTCACCAAGCAGAAGGACTGCAAGATGAAACTGAAGGAGTTTGTGGACTATTACTACAGCACCAGCCGCAGGCGGGTCCTCAGCCTCACCAGCCTCGAGTTCTCAGACACCAGGTGAGCGGGGTGGGTGGGGGTGGGGCTGGGGCGGGACACCCGTGGCCCATCTCAGGGTGTGTAGAATTCCACACATAGCATTATTTGGTGTTTCTCTTCTAAAGTATGAAAGGTATTCATTGTGAACAATTCAAATAGGAAATAACGAATGAGATGCCAGCTCCTCCTCTGATCTTCCCACCCCGCTCCCCAGAGAGAGCCATTGGTAACAGTGCTTCCCTCCAGAACGCATGTGCCCATGCACAACACACCCCTGGCGCACATACATGCACACACGCACACACACACACACACACACACACGCACGCACACGCACACTGAGACACACACGCATGCACGCTCACACACACTGAGACACACACACACACACTCACTTATGCAGTCGCTCACACCCACACCCAGGTGTGTATTATCCCATCCGCCCCTATGCCACACTGACACATGCACACATGCTTATTACACACTTGCTCACATGCCTGCACACACTTTTTTAAAAAATAAATTTTATTTTGATTTTTTTTTTTTGCAGAGAGGAAGGGAGAGGAATAGCGAGTTAGAAACATTGATGAGAGAGAATCATCGATCAGCTGCCTCCTGCCCCCCGCCCCCCCCCGCCCCCCCCCCCCCCCCCCCTGCCCAGGGATGTGCCTGCAACCAAGGATGTGCCTCTATCCACTGAGCCAAACCGGTTAGGGCTGCACACACTTTAATTAGCACCTTTAGCACAATGGGATCATGCCTGAGCAGCTGCTCTGCTCCTGCCTGCCTCCCCCCCGCCCCGTGTTGAGGCCCTGTCCTGCCTGCTGTGTTCTCAGGGCTGAGGTCCCTACACAAGGTGTCTGGCTGTCTGGGCCCACCTGGTTCCGGGGTCCTGTTTTCAGAGGTGGGTCGGATTCTGGCTCAGCCCTGTGTCTTTATGACCCTGTTCTCTCAGGACCACCTGCTTAGCTGTGCCCACCCACGCTGTGCACCTCTTGCCCCTTTGTCAGGTGCCCACTGCTCTCCCGCTGGCCCTTGGGAAAGACCCAGTACACTCTCTCCCCACAAGGTGTGAGTCGATGATGGTTTAATTTAAGAACAGTTTTATTTTTGAATTATGTCCACCTTGCTAATGATAGAAAGCCCACAAAATAATAAAAATAGCCCAGGTGCAAAAAGTCTGGTAGGAAAAAATAAGTGTTATCAAGAATCACATTGAGAAGTAAAATACAGAACTACCAGGAGCCATAGTGAAATAATGTAATTGGGCAGTGGGCTTAATTTGAGCTTCCTGACAGCAAAGGCAAAAAGGGAAATAAGATGGGTTACGGTATCTGGAAAAAACGGTCTCTTATCTGTGTGTGTACAGGAAGGATGTTCTCCAAGACTGAGTTCTGAGGAGTGGGTTGCTTTGGTATCAAAGCTCGCACTCATGTTGCCATCAACTTGATTGGCCTCTCTGGCCGAGAGATCTTCCCAGAGTGGCACTGGGATGATTTGGGTGATGGAGCTAGGCCTGGGGTTTCTCCTTGGGCCTCTCATGGCCACTGCTTTGCTGGCAGAAAAATATATGGTGCTTCTGGTGTCCTCTGGTCCTGTCCAAGGACAGTGGGTGAGGGTGGGGGACATGTACACTTCAAACCAGGTTGTTTATGGTCATGGCGCCAGACCTATTGAATGCACTGGGACTAGGTTCCCCGCCATTCAAAAGGGAGGAGGTACGGCCTCTGTTTCATCAGTGCAGTCTGTCCTCAAAGATGGCTTCTGGGGCTGAAAAGTGGGGGCCAAACCCATGGGGTGTCTGGGGCTGCATTCAAGGCATCCTTGTGTCACCTTCCCTTCTCTCCATCCATGGGTTTCTGAAGGGCTTTGAAGAGCCACTGGCATTGGCGGCAGGTTTTGTACCTGAGGAGCCAACAGCAAGAAAAGAAGGACATTTGGGGCCATGTGGGGAGGTGGCAGTGGCCCCACTATTGTATGGGGTGTATGGAGGGTTATGAGCGCCCCAGGCTGGTGGGGCAGGGCCCCTCTCTTGTGGCAGTGCTGCGCCTGGACTGTGGACGGACCGGGAGGTGGGCACGGGCAGAGGTGGGCGAAGAGGGCTCTCATGGGGCATGGGGAGGGATTCTAGTTTGGAAGAAGCCAGAGATTTAATGTAAAGAGGAGGGCCGGTGGCTGAGGCCACTGAGCTCAGGGTGGCCTGACCTCTGACCTGTGATAGTTTGTACGGCGGCATGGCCTTCCATGCAGAGATGTGCGGATCCCATCCTGCCCGAGGCAGCAGGAGCCAGGAGACGGCCCTCATGGCAGCTGAGGTCACTGCACAGGTGCCACTGCGCTGGGCGTTCTTAATGCATCATTGTGCATGTTACCCAAAGCAGGGACGTTTCCTTGATACCAAAGGCTGCCTTCCCCGTTCTGCACATTCCCTGGACGTAAGCTGGCTGGTCTGGTAGTGGCTGATGTGGCAGAGGGTTCGGGCTCCTGTTGTCAGCACTGGAGATCGGTGGCTTTTATCCAGGCGAGGCCAGGAGGCGCCTGGGCCGTGCATGAAGGATACTTGCTCTCAGCCCATCGTGTCAGCACGGTGTGGACCAACCCAGGAAACCTCCCTTTCTGGGTCTCCAGGACGAGCCTGTCTTCGGGGTGGGTGGTCCTCAGGCCTTCTCCACACCCATCTGTGGGCCGGGAAACTAGTGTTAGACACTGGCCGCAGCCGCACCTGGTGGCTGGGCTTGTTCTGCCTTCTGTGAGCCTCAGTCTGCGCATCTGTGAGATGGGAACGAGGCCGTGTAGCCAGAAGTGAGAAATGTGTGTGGGACATGAGTCTCAGGGCACCTTTCCCTCCCTGTCCAGGGCATAACAGACGTGGTGACACTTCCCACCTTGCTGACCCCTTTTCCTGTCCCTGCCCCCAGAATGTCCAGCTTCGTGGAGCCGCCTGATATTGTGAAGAAACTGTCCTGGGTAGAAAACTACTGGCCTGATGACGCGTTGCTGGCCAAGCCCAAGGTGACTAAGTACTGCCTGATCTGTGTGAAGGACAGCTACACGGACTTCCACATCGACTCCGGGGGCGCCTCTGCTTGGTACCACGTGCTCAAGGTGAGCCCTGGGGGCTTGCCCCGCCCGTGACCAGGTCACTGTGGGTCTGCACGACTGTCTGCAGTCTTCACGAGCACGAATCCCTGGGCAGGACCAGGGACAAGATGTTTCTGCCACTGGAGGTGTGGGGGACAGGGGCACCTCAAGACCAAAGCAACAGGCCTGCGTTGCCTTTTTCTAAAAACTGGGACTCGTGAGGCAATCAGAGGCCCACCCAGGGGAGTGGTGACTGAGTGTTCAGTGGCCACTCTTATCCAGGGAAGAGAGAGCAGTGCTGGAGAGAATTCCTGAAAGAGGGGACAAGGGTGCTTGCTCTAAAGCCCCCCCTAAAGGAGTGGGGCTTTAGATGCATCTGAGCGTCCCTGCAGACTGAGCAGGTTCCTTCCTGTGTGTCCCTCAGTCTGTCTGCCCCGAGAGGGAGGGGCTCTGTCTCCTGGTGGGGCTAGCCAGGCCTGGCAGCCCCAGGGGCCTCCTTCCATCTCCAGCTGAGACACAGCCTCTCTAAGTACAGCTTTCCTGTAATTCATGAAACCAAGGGGGTCACAGCTCTGTGCCCCCTTGGCACACATGGTGCCCCTCTTGCTGCAGAGTTATGGTATGTGGGGTGGCGAGGGTGCCCAACAATGTTGGGGACTCCTATGCCTAGAACCTTCCGAACACACCGACTTCTGAACTTAAAACACTTGTGGCTCCAGCGTTTGCCGAACGGTGGCCTGGGTAGCCTGAGGCAGGACCCAGCACCAGGACATGGAGGGCCCTGCCCAGGCCCCAGCATCCGGGGTTGCGGCAGGCTCTGTCATCACGGAGCTCACAGCACATGGCGAGCTGTCAATGGCCTCTCGTTGGCAGGGGGAGAAGATCTTCTATCTCATCAAGCCGGCTTCGGCCAACATCTCCCTGTATGAGCGCTGGCAGTCGGCCTCAAACCACAGTGAGATGTTCTTTGCCGACCAGGTAGACAAATGCTACAAGTGCACCCTCAAGCAGGGCCAGACGCTCTTCATCCCCTCTGGTGAGTGCTCTGTCCCTGTACCTCATACCCACCACTGGGGTCTGCCCGGGAGGGCACGTGTGGGTGTCTGCTGCCTTGTCCTGGGGCAGGCCCGTTGTGCAGTCACCTCTGGGGTCACCTCAGGCCAAGAGCCCTAGCAGCCCCCAGCCTGGCTATGCTCACAGAAGCCGGGCCAGGGCCCCCAAGAGCTGGGCCATGCCGTTTGAGGTGTTTGCTGATCTTGACATTTCAAACATTGTAGGAGGAAGCAGGACGTGAGCAAATAAGTGCCCTTTACAGGTGTCATAGTGCTTCACTCGTAAATATTTCCCCATCTCTGAAAGGCTTCCTTTTAAAAGGACATGATTACAGTCCTGTCGTTGCACCTTACAAATGAATGGTTAGCAAGTCCTTAGTGTCACCAAATAGCCGGCTGATGCTCAGATTTTCTGATGAGACCTCATGTTTCCATTGACTTATCTGCCCCTGTGCCTTTCTTGATCTAGGTACCCCCCCCGCCCCGCCACACACACACACCTGGTTCCCCACAATCAGTTGTTTCCCAGTCTGGCCCAGGCTGCATCTCTGAGGATGATGTAGGGAGAGCCCCAGCTCTCCAAGGAGAGGTGGCAGCCCTGCGTTCTCTCCTTCTGTCCCTGCGTGTAGGGATCGGGAATGATGGGTAGCCTGACCCTGGGTGGTCTGAGCACGTCCCCTCCGCTCCCAGGCCTGAGTTTCCCCATCTGTACTGTTCAGGGCTGGATTGAGCAGACTGGGCCAGCTCGGACACAGTCTCCTTCCTGGAGGGCCCACCCACTCAGTACACGAGGCCAGGCCAGAGGTCCTTCCATGGGTATCAGGTGGGCAGGGGCACTGAGCCCATGCTGGCCAGACAGGCCAGGCAGCCACCGAGAGCCTGGCGTGAGAACGCCGTGAAGGGCTAGCCGCATCTGTCTCCCCCAGGCTGGATTTATGCCACACTCACGCCCGTGGACTGCCTGGCCTTCGCGGGACATTTCCTCCACAGCCTGAGTGTGGAGATGCAGATGAGGTAGGGCCATACCTGCCTCGGGGCTCCACCAGGCAGGGTCCCCACCATCAGTGTGATGCCACCTCCCCTGAGTGGCTGGGCCTCCATGATCGTGGGAGGAAGGAAAAGATGGGCCCTTGAGGTGCCTCGTGTCTGGACAGCCTCCATGGCCCATGGCGGGTTCGAAGTGAATGGAAAGGCCGAGCTGCCTTCTCCATAGGCACTGACCCAGAGGTCTAGAAGCCACGGCCAACAGGCACTGGGCTCTGGGCACTCGCCCCAAAGTGACCCCCTGGTTCACCTCACCACCCAGGGCCAGCAGGGAGGCCTGGCCAGGCATGGCCTCGGTGTGGCCTTGTCTGGCCATGGGTGTGGCACGGGCCCACCATTGTTTAGTGTCGCCTGCTCATGGCTCAGAGCACTGAATAGTTCTTTGCTGTGGCTTCCAGAGCATACGAAGTGGAAAGAAGGTTGAAACTGGGCAGCCTGACTCAGTTTCCCAACTTTGAAACTGCCTGCTGGTACATGGGAAAGCACCTGCTGGAGGCTTTCAAAGGTACGTCCCGGCACCTTGGCCTCCAGCTTCGGGCCATTTGTGTGTGTGTGTGGGGGGGGGGGGGGGGGCGGTCAGGGACACCAGGAGGGGAACAGGGCTGCCCGCACGCAGCCGGGCAGCCAGACCCTGGGGCAGACGGAGCACTGCCTGCAGGAGGCTGCCCACGCTCCTCAGCCCCGGCTCGGGCCCCCTGGCTGGGCCTGTGGGGCTGGACTGGACTCTGGCCTGTAGGGCCATCTGGTGTTTCAGAAAGAGTGCTGCCACGTGGTCCCAGCCTGGCGTGCCTTCTGCTTGGTGGCCGTGGCCTCATGTGGATACTGACGGGGCTCAGTCGGGACATCCAGAGGCCTGGGGGGTTGAGGGACTCCTGAGGCATCCCCGCTGTGTGTGCCTGTCCGGGTCCTGTGGGGGCCCACGGGGAGGGGCGGGCTCCAGCGGGTCCCTGACTCCGAGGACATGGTGCCCTCAGTCCCAGGCCCTGGCAGGCCAGGCCGTGGGTGCCGGGGCTGCGCCGACCCCTGGGTCCGCAGACTTTCCGCAGCCTCGTGGGGCACAGAGAACCTATGCTCCCATGTGGTCCTTTCTCAGCGGAGCCTCTGGAAGCTGCTCTGCTGAGCAGAGTGGAGCCCACCTACTGGGACTCTGGTTCGGGCTGTAGTTTCTCAGGAGAGAAAGCTGAGAATGTTTCTTAATCTGAGCCGGCCAGGTTTCATTGAAATTTGTCCATTGAGCCCCAAATTCAGAGCTCTGAGCTATATCGTGGCAGAGGGAGCACCCTGCCCTGGGGGCGTGGTGGGAGGCGGGGTGGGGAGTGTGGGTGGAGTCACAGCGGGCACTGACTGACAGCCCAGGAGGACTCTGGCCAGCCGAGCCGTGCTGGCCGCTCTGCCTCAGGTCCTCTGTGAAGGCTCATAGCATAGCTCTCCGGGGCCAAGAGGACGGAGGGAGCTGCCTCCTGCCAGGGAAACAATCACGGTGGTGTCAGCTCTCCGGCAGCTGCTCTGTCCCTTTTCCACGGGCCTGGCCCCGGCCCCCAAGGGCATCTTGGTGATGGGCCCCAATGGGAACTGACCCCCCTCCCTGGTGTCTCAGCCGTGCAGGGGGCGATGTGAGGGTGGGGATCAGAAAGTACCTAGGGATGCTTGGTGCGCACAACGCTGACCCCTGGCTGAGGTGGACCGGGGACCAGGCCGAGGGAGAGCCCGGCCACCTGTGTGAGGCCTGAGTGGGGACCGGGGGAGGCCAGTTCTGCCCTGAGGGCGTCCTGGATGCCTGTCCCCCAGGTTCCAAGAGGAACCGTTGGCAGTTGGGCAGGTGGCAGTGGGCGGAGGCCTCTGGAAGGTCTCCCACTCCCCACCCCACCCTGGGTGTGAAGTTGCCTGTGGGCGGCAGGTGAGGACCGGCCGCGCCCACCTGAGCTCGCCTCTCCATCTCTCCCCAGGTTCTCACAAATCCGGGAAGCAGCTGCCCCCTCATTTAGTTCAAGGAGCTAAAATTCTCAATGGTGCTTTCAGATCATGGACAAAAAAGCAGGTAGGCCCTGTGCCAGGCGTGGCCCGGGGTGGGGGAGGATGGCAGGCGGGAAGCCATCCCAGGGCTCATCTGCCTTTCCGGGGAACTAGTGTCTGAAGAGTAGGAGGTGCCAGCAGCCCAAGTCAGACAGCTGGGTGTGGGGTGTGGAAACAGGGGAGCGCGCTTCCTCCTGGGGCCTGGTCTAAGGTGGGGCGGGGGGGCCTGGAGATTGAGGGGGCAAGGCTGGTGGTAGAGACAGCACTGAGTGAACCCAGGGAGAGAGGCCAGGGAGTGGGAGGACTCTGAGCAGCCACTGACTGGCTGGCCGAGTGTGACACTGTCGGCAGGAGAGACGGACTCCCTCTCAGCCCTTCCCGGCCCAGGCTCAGCTCTGTCCAGCTTTGCTCTTCCTCCTGGGACTGCCCAAGGCCACCTGCAGGATCACTGTCCTGTGCCCCCACTGTCCTGTGGCCCCCACTGTTCTCTGCCCCCCACTGTCCTGTGCCCCATGTCCCCCGCAGTAGCACTGTCCTGTGCCCCCCCACACTGTCCTGTACCCCCACATCCCCCGCAGTAGCACTGTCCTATGGCCCCCACTGTCCTGTGCCCACCACTGTCCTGTGCCCCACATCCCCCGCAGTAGCACTGTCCTGTGGCCCCCACTGTCCTGTGCCCCCCACTGTCCTGTACCCCCCCCACTGTCCTATGCCCCCACTGTCCTGTACCCCCCACTGTCCTGTGCCCCCCACTGTCCTATGCCCCCCCTCTGTCCTGTGGCCCCCACTGTCCTGTGCCCCCCACTGTCCTGTGGCCCCCACTGTCCTGTGCCCCCCCACTGTCCTGTGCCCCCCACTGTCCTGTGGCCCCCCACTGTCCTGTGGCCCCCACTGTCCTGTGCCCCCCACTGTCCTATGCCCCCCCACTGTCCTGTACCCCCACATCCCCCACAGTAGCACTGTCCTGTGGCCCCCACTGTCCTGTGCCCCCCACTGCCCTGTGCCCCCCCACTGTCCAGTGGCCCCTACATTGAATGTTAACACCTTCACTAGCTCCTATGCAGCAGCTGTTTTCCGACAATGGGGGCCCCAGAGAAGCAGCTTCAGACTTCCCTTGGAATGTTGCCTGGGTTGTGGGGACAGAGCGAGGGCAGGGCCCCATCAGCCTGGGCACTGTCTGTGGCAGTGTCCCGTCCCCCAGAGGGGAGCCAGCACTGTCTGAGCAGGCCCTCAGGACGGGGTGGGACCCGGAGGGGAACACCTGTGTGCTTCTTGGTTCTCTCACGGGTGGGCCTGGTGGGTGGGTGGCCAGTGCCCTCCCAACGCTGTCCTGTGGCCACATCTTCTCCAGCCTTAAGGCTTAGAGTGAGCCGTGCACGGCATCCCTCCTGCCTCACCGCAGCAGGTGGCCAGGAGAGCGGCCTGTGTCAGGAAGGAGACAGCCCACATTCACTCCATAGCTGGTGGTGGCTTCGGGTGCCTCGTCCTCTCGGGGACTCAGGTTCTCCATCTATAGAGTGGGGTCATGGCAGCTTTCTTGTCAGGGCAGTGTCTGGCTGGAGTGGGCTGATTTCTCCAGCGCCCCATGCAGGCAGCCCCTACCCCATGCCTGCCGGGGTAGTGGTGGGTCCTGGCCCAGTAGGCAGGGCAGGGCAGGGCAGGGCAGGGCCTGGTGGGACAGAGAGGGTTAGTCAGGAATCAGAGGCTGAGCATGCTTGGGCCCCGTGGGTGGGAGGTGCAGGGAAGGTGGGCGTGGCACAGAGGGTGGGCATCCACGTCCAGACTCAGTGGCTGACCCGTTGACCTGGTGCATGGCTGTCCTGCAGGCTTTGGCAGAGCATGAAGATGAACTCCCAGAGCACTTCAAACCCTCGCAGCTCATCAAAGACCTTGCCAAAGAGATCCGGCTCAGTGAGGTAGGGCTGACTCAGGCCTGCTGGCCCTGGTCATGGGAGGCCTCTCTTCTCTGGCCCTATTTAGGGCTGCCTGTCAGGAATGGCCATGTGGTCACCTGCAAGATGTGGGCTCAGACTCCTAGGCCCCAGCTGCATCTCCTGGTGGGAGTTTAGGGAGTGAGAGGTGGAAAGGGGGCTCCTCTGCAGCTCCCGGTGGGCGTGAGGGAGGACGATTCCAGCCCTGCCAGGGGTACCCACCACGGAGGGAGAGGAATCAGGTAGCTGATGGTATAGATGAATGTGGCCATGGCACATGCATAGTGCAGACGTGTCACACAGATGGTATAGACCAGCCGTGGGCAAACTATGGCCCGCGGGCTGGATCCGGCCTGTTTGAAATGAATAAAACTAAAAAAAAAAAAAGACCGTACCCTTTTATGTAATGATGTTTACTTTGAATTTATATTAGTTCAAACAAACACTCCATTCATGCTTTTGTTCCGGCCCTCCGGTCCAGTTTAAGAACCCATTGTGGCCCTCGAGTCAAAAAGTTTGCCCACCCCTGGTATAGACAGAGGCAAGCATGTCACATGATGGTGTAGATGGATGTGCTGTGTCATGTGGATGGTAGAGATGGATGTGAGTGTATCACACGGATGATGGTGTAGATGGATATAGCCATGTCACACAGTGGTGTAGATGGATGTGCTGTGTCATGTGGATGGTATAGAGAGATGTGAGTGTATCACACAGATGATGGTGTAGATGGATGTGCTGTGTCATGTGGATGGTATAGAGATGTGAGTGTATCACACAGATGATGGTGTAGATGGATGTGCTAT